TCAGTGGAGAATTAGCCCGTGCTATGCTTATTCAGGTTCGTCCCTGGTTTTCTGTTTTCTGGGTACAATAACTGAAACAGTGTTTCACTGACCTTCAATTTTGAAATTTTCAGATTCAAAAGCTTAAACTGGATCTTGAATCGTAAGTTAAACAAATCACCATCTGAAAATTTTGATAAGCTATATAAAGATATGCTTTGTCTTGTCTATTGTTCATTGTTATTGATAATTGAAGTGGTTTTACACAGGGGACTACTGGAAATGGATCAGATTCTTAGGGCAAATGCTATAAACCTTGCCGTTCTTGCAGCTCTGCCTGCTTTTGGTCTTTCACTTCTGCTGCTTGTGTTACTGCGAACATGGATTCAGCGTGTATGTATATAAACTATCAAAAAACATTTTCATGTTCACAATTTCATTCCTCTGGTCTATCAGCAGTAATTGTAGGTCTACTGCATCATGTCATCTTTCTCTTCAGAGTTCAAACCATGGGTGTTACTTATCTTTGCGGTTTATGTTGCATGCAAATGGATATGGAAAGTAGAAAGTAGAAAGGCATTATGGTAAATTTGGCTAACTAAACATCTACGCATCCCACAGGATCATGGTGCTGAGGGAAGAGGTAATATTGCACGATGTCAACGGAGGCTGCTTCTTGTTGATGTAGAGAGAAGACTTATGGAGTTTCAGCATTACAGGGATAATGGAATGGTAATTTCAAATATATATGAAATTCGTTCACTCTAGCATTCTTTAACATATTTCTTTTCCAAGTATTGTTTATTTGTGTAAGAGATCGGCAGGGAGGGGGTCAGCGCAGGAGGAAGAGAGAGGGGAAAGAGAGATAAGCCTTGAGGCAATCCTTTCTTGATTCCAATGATTACATAGCCCCTCTACTTATAGTCCTGGGTAGACTTGTATCTTAAGTAATCTAATGAGGGAAGTCCTTATAGATATGGACTCCTCCCTATCTTAGCTAATCCTATTCCTATTGGAGATCCTCCGGATATGGATAGTGGAGCGGCGGGGATCCACCCTTGCTTGTGCGCCTCCCCCTAGGCGTCGGCGCTGCTGCTGCCCCTTGCGGCGGCGGCGGCGGCGCTGCTGCTGCTGGCGTCCGGGCCAGCTAGGCCAGATGGGCCTGTAGGCCCCATTAGGCATATGACATCACTCCCCCCTTCTCCAATCAGCGCGTCCTCGTGCTGAATCATTGCCCAATCTTTGACAGGCTCTGGCGGCGGGTTGGTGTTTGCTGGTAGCTCTGCAATCTGAACAGTTAAGTGGCCCAAGGTGTCATTGAAGTGGTTGGTGCTGATGTGGTAATAGGCGAACTTGAAGTAGTAGCCACAGGAGCCGAAGTAGCCGGAGATGTAGTAGTTGTTGGTTCCTGAGCCTTCCAGAGGTTCCTGGATGCAGCGGGCTGCGTAGATGGCGGCGCCGGGAAGCGTTCCCGGGAAGTGTAGTGTTTCATCCGTGGAGGTCGTGGAAGCGAATGCACCTGTCCAGCATCAACTTGACCCCTTATGCGCCGGCATAACGCTGTAGCGATGATGGTCGGTGGTGTCGTGGTGAAGTGCTGTAGCGTGCCGAAGAGGAGGTCGCCGGTGTTGTCGTTTGCTGGAGAGATCAGTAGAGGACCGTTGGCGTGCTGCCTGCCGATGTAGGTGTCGTCGATGGAGAGGAACTGTTGGCCGTTGTTGTCAAAGAAGACGACCGTTGCCGATGGAAGTATGCGGTGTGGCCATGCCTCAAGAAGTAAAATACTCGAGGGGAAAGCTTGTGTTGTCGGTGAAGATGTCGCTGTGTGGAGGCCGATCGCCAGGAGATGCGGAGCTGAAGTTCCGAGCGACTCGAGCAGGTCCTTTAACAAAGGTGAAGTTACCGGGACATAGTATCGTTCGTTGTAGCGGACGATGCCGTGTTGGAGGGACCAAGCTGGTGCTGCCACCTGGAGTTCGATGGTGGTGGAGATGATCTGAAGTTCGCGCTCATCTGAAGTGGCGAGGTGAAGTTGAGCGAGAATCTCTGGGTCCGGCTCGATGCGGGCAGCCACCCTGGCGCCAACTAGTGGAATCGATGTCGCGGCTGTAGCGGAAAGTTGGAGTGGGGATGCGTTGTCCGATTTGGTGGTGGAGCTGTCGGTGTGACCCCTTGGCATGGTGTCGGTGGGGTTGTCGCCGGCAGAGGCGGATTGTCCCGTCTTGGTGGGTGCCGGTGTCGGGGTCTCCAGGGTGCGGGCGAGGTCGATGGCCGTCTCCATGGAGCGAGGATGGTGCCGCACAACCGCCTCTCGGAGTGCATGCTAAAGGCCGTTGACGAAGAGGCTGACTTGATGTTGTTCGCTGGAGATGCCAATGCGCAGAGCGTAGGCGATGAAGTTGTTGATGTAGTCGTTCACGTAGCTGGTATGATGAGGTGGTGTGAGGTCGCTGGTGGTGTCGCGGTCGGGGCCGAAGTTGCGGATGATGCTCTTGGTGAAGTACGCCCACTCTGTCATGGGTGTATCCTTCGTTGCGCGCATGTACCACCGGTGTGCTTCACCTGTCAGATGAAAGGCCGTGTACCAGGTTTGTGTTGCCTCCGGCAGACGGTATAGGTTGGAGATTTGCTGCATGCGCGAAAGCCATGGCCTCGGATCCGTCAAGCCGTCGTATGTAGGTGTCGTGAGCTGGGTCTTGATGGGGACATATCGTTGTGGTGGTTCCGTCGTTGTTGGTGTCGTCGTAGGCAGCGGTGATCGGGGGGCATTGTCCCTCCGTGCCGGTGGCCAGGTGGGCGGCTGCTGCTGTGATGGCACCTTGAGGCGCTGTGCGACCGCTGGGCTAGCTGGGAGTCTGCTGGCTGCGTGCACAGGTGGTGGTTGATGCTGAACTGTTGGTGGTGTCGCCACCGGTGGCGTACGCGGTGGTGGCTCCTGCTGGTTGATGTCCAACCGTTGGTGGACAGCCGCACGGATGACTGGGGTTCCCTCCCGTGGGGGAAACAGTGGCGCCATTGGTGGCTGTGGTGATGGAGGTGGAGCCGAAAGCAGGCTGTCTCACACAGCCAGGATGATCTCCGGAGTGTTGGAGGACTAGGGTGCGTCCATCTTGCGTTGGAGATACGACTTGCCGGCGGCGATCATGACGCGCTTGGTTTCTGCGCCGAGGTCGTCGATGGCGGCTTCCTGATCCAATCTGGCCTGAACGCCGGTGATGGCGGTGTCGCCATGGGTGTGTGCGCGCTCGATAGCGTGCAGACGATTGTCGAGGTTGACGAGTTGATGGTGCATCTCCCCGAAGTTCTTGTGAAGGTTGGCGGTGAGGTTCTCGATCAGCTGCTGCATGGTGGGGGTGGTGGAGTCCATGGATCGCCTGGTGTCCGGATACCAGGGTAAGAGCCCGGCAGGGAGGGGGGCTCCTAGGCGGCGGCGGCTAGGGTTGAGGGAGGTGAGGGCGACAGACAGGGAGAGAGGAGAGGGAGAGGGAGGGGGTCGGCGCAGGAGGAAGAGAGAGGGGAAGGAGAGATAAGCCTTGAGGCAATATTTTCTTGATTCTAATGATTACATAGTCCCTCTACTTATAGTCCTGGGTAGACTTGTATCTTAAGTAATCTAACGAGGGAAGTCCTTATAGATATGGACTCATCCCTATCTTAGCTAATCCTATTCCTATTGGAGATCCTCCGGATATGGATAGTGGAGCGGCGGGGATCCGCCCTTGCTTGTGCACCTCCCCCTAGGCGTCGGCGCTGCTGCTGCCCCTTGCGGCGGCGGCGGCGCTGCTGCTGCTGGCGTCCGGACCATCTGGGCCTGTAGGCCCCATTAGGCGTATGACAATTTGGCTTTCTAATTGTGATAACTTTTACTATGCTTCTAGCACTTGAGTCTTGTATATGAGCTTGTTCTCTCACCATATACAAAACTACCAAAATTGCCTTTTTCCCCTAACGAGTATCTCAAAGATTTGTAGATAAAATGTTTATTACTAATCTAATAGGCACCGTGCAATAAATTTGAAGCTGCTAAAGTCTTGGATTATATGATATGATCATGCAACAACTCCTTGAGTTTGCTACCTTATAGGAGGAAGAGGCACGGTGCAAGTTTGGATTAGTACTTTACACGCTTGATAGACTGTGCAAAGCTGTTGAGTCTCACGCAAAAGAAACAGACGAATGGTTAAGGTCAGTCTCTCTGCGCAAAGTCCTTCACCTCTCATCTTGGTTATTCTGGATCTGACGTGTAGGAAACTGTTTGCAATGCAGCTTGAGAGAAGATATTTTTGATCTGGCAAAGCTCGACATGGGAACGCCAGACAAGATGATTGTCGTGTCACGCTTGAAGTGGATGTATAACTGCTTGCTTCCATTCTCATCGAGCCGTTTGCCACGTCTCTAGAGCAGTGAGCAACTGAACGTCGTGTGCTGCATTTTGGATACTCCAGTTCTGCGGTACCTTGTAAAGATTTTGACACGGATACCTGGAGCTCTGGAAGGTTTGTTGGCCCTCTATTGTCGGAAGGATGGTTCTTTCAGGCGCACATGATGTTTTGTACTCCCCTCCAAGATTTGCACACAAGATTTGTAAATTTTACTAGAGCTGGATAAAGTACATCGTGAAGGGGGAAAGAATTGAGTAGATACGTGTCCACCGAGTCCTCCGTGCATACAGCCAGGGGTAGGGCATAGAAAGAGGACGCCAGTTTCTCAACTTGACAATTTTTGCCTTGCTTGGCCCGCTTGTTGATTTGGATTGGCCGGTATACCAAATTGTTTGCGTGGTTGGGCTACATGTGAGCGAGCATTGTACCTTCGGCCTTTGTTCCTGCCTGCCACTTGAAATGGTTGTTCCATATCCCATAGTAGTTCATAACATGGTAACAGGATGCTGTTCTTTTTATCTATTCGCAGAAATAAAGGAGATGGGCACTAGTACAATCTTATTGAACTGTTTCATTTGAAAGAACATGTGTTATTATTCATGTGTGGCACTAGCGGCCACACAACACCCTGGGCCCCTTTCACTTGCCGATGATGGCGAGCAGCGCGTCCTTATAGTGGCCATGGGTGTTCTTGGCCACGGCGTCGGCGAGCTTGGCCCCGTACTGCCTGGCGTAGGCGTCCTTGATATCCTCCATGTCCGTGTCAGCGCGGGACACCAGGACGCGGGTGAGCGCCGCCTTGGCCTGCCTGTCCGCGTCGTCGCTGAACGCCCTGCTGATCACCTCGCTGAAGTACTTGGGCGGCGAGTCCAGGCACTTGACGGCCTCTCGCAGGCACGGCTCGGCGGCCAGGTCCTGATCGGTCGCAGGCGCAAACAACAGAGGAATCAGCGTCAGAGTGTTAAAAGAGTTTGGATTTATGGTGAACTCTCCTACTGGTATTCTTGACGACCTCTTCAAGTGGCTTGCCGTGCAGCTCCATGTAGATCCTGAAGGTGGCCCTGAGCTGGGGCTTGCTCCTGGTAGCCAGCACCCGCACCACCTGCTCGTTCTGCACTAGCTTGGTCGCTGCCGCCGGCGCGGACCTGACGGCGGCGGCCAGCGCCTTGGCCTCCTCAGTGGCGAGGTCCTCGCTCACGCACGCGCCCTCGTACCGGTACGCGCTCACCAGCCCCACCAGCAGCTGCAGGCAGGCAGGAAATACGTGTTAGTGCGTCAGTTACAGAGCTGCTGCTGCCAGTGCCAGGTGGCAGCAGCCCAGAACGAGAAAGAAGACGGAGAAGGAAGGAAACAGCGCGCACACTGGCGTTGGCGTCCCTGACGCGGTAGGCGACGTCCTCCTCGAGCGAGCGGTGGTAGAGCGCCTGGTACGCGCGGCGCGCGCCGAGCAGGTCGTCGGCGGCGCGCGTGCAGGCGACCTCGACGAGGACCTGCGGCGGGTGCGCCTTGTGCAGGACGTGGTGCGCCCAGCGCGCGTCGCGCTCCCACGGGTGCATCGCCCACAGCACCGCGGCGTCCTTGAACCGCGCGAACTCCGCCTGGAGGTGCAGCAGGTACTCGTCCTCGCACCGCTCGATCCCGGCGACCGCGCCGGCGCTCGCCGAGAAGAAGCCCAGGAAGCCGCGCCGGAACTGCGCCCGCTTCTCCGGCTGCCGCCGCCACCGCCCCAGCGCGGACACCAGCGCCGTCTCGTCCACGCCCAGCCCGCCCAGACCTTCATTTTTTTCAACATCGTGCCAAAATTCATTCGCGCATGGTCAACGTATACACAAGTGTATATAATAATGTACCGTACCCGCGAAGGCCCTGGTGAGGTCTTGGTGCTCGTCGGCCATGGCAGCAGGCGGCGCCTCCTTCTCCTTGTTCTGCGGGTCCCTTTCCTTCCTGGGCGCCTGCTGCTGCCTGAGACGCGGCTGCGGCGACGCCGGCGGTGACGTCGCGGCGCTGCTGTTGCTGCCGGTTTGTGTGAGGAACTGCTGCATCGGGTTCGATGTGGGGCCTTTATCTATCTATATAAAGCTCTCCGCGTCACGACTAGTCCAGGTATACACGGGTCAAATGCTTGCTTGTTTATATAGATGGATGCTACAGAATCAATTCAGATACGAAACAGCTTGAAAAAATTAATGCAGTTTTATGACGTTAATTCATGGTGGCCAGCTTTGGCACGACCAGAGGGAGCGTTTCGTGCTGGTTGGGAGCCCTACTAGCAGATCGTTGTGGTTGTGGATTGAATGGTGCCCAGCCCAGGTGTCATCAATCTTGAAACGCGCCTCTGGTTCATTAGGAGTAATAATTACTACTAATTAAGCAGGGATTAATGGGACAAGAGGAGTAGTCGAGACTCACATTGCGCGGCTCCATTTACCTGACGACCGCGTCAGGGACACTCGTTTCATTTGCACGTTTCCTCCGCATCGATCGCCCGGTGACCCGATAGTCCGGTACCGGTAGCAAGCAAGCGGAGAGATGGCGCCCGTCGCCGTCGTCCCGAGCCCCGATCGCCGACGCCGAAAGCCTCCGGGAGGCCGTGCAAGGTAAGGGCCACCCGTCTAGGCGCACATTTAACATTGTCGGTTCCTCCCTGCCTTAGGCTGGGGCACGGACGAGAAGGCGCTGATCGACGTCCTGGGGCGGCGGACCGCGGCGCAGCGCGCGGAGATACGCCGTGGTGCTGTGGACCATGGACCCGGCGGAGCGGGACGCGCGGCTGGCGAACCGGGCCTCGGCGACCGGAGGGTTGGGGTGGGCGACCACCACGCCTGCTGGGCGCTGGCCGAGGTCGCATGCGCCTCCGCGCCGGACCACCTCATCGCCGTCCGCCGCGCGTAACGGTCCCTCTTCGGCTGCTCCCTTGAGGAGGACGTCGCCGCCTGCCCCGCGCTCCAGGATCCGCTCAGGAAGGTAACAAGTCGAGCGAGATAGCCTCAGCTGGCAGTGCCAGCCATAGCGCGTGCGTGCGCATCCCATCCCTTTAACAAACTTCCTTCAGCTGCTGGTGAGCCTGGTGAGGTCGTACCGCTGCGGAACGGAGCGCGTCGACGAGGACGTCGCGAGGATGGAGGCGGTACAGCTCGCGGAAGCCATCAAGAAGAGAAGGCAGCCGCACGGCGACGAGGTGGCACGAATCGTCAGCACGAGGAGCAAGCACCAGCTGCGGGCCACGTTCCAGCGGTACAAGCAAGACCACGGCACCGACGTCGATGAGGTACCGTACCGGCCATAGCCAATTCTCGTCGAGTACCATTGCCATCAGACGAGAAAGAACAGCGGCATGCTTAACAGGGGACTCCTTGTTGCCCTGCTCTGACAGGACATCACCAAGCATAGCAGCAGTCAGTTTGCCAAGATCCTCAGGAGCGCCGTCTGGTGCTTAACGTCGCCGGAGAAGCACTTTGCAGAGGTAAACTTGGGATGGAAAGATTGTCAACCTTGTTGATGGGCTTTGAATTGCCAGTGTTCAACCTGTACTGGATCTTATATATGTATATGTACTTTGTTCGTCAGGGCCATCTTAGGATTTGGAACGGATGAGGACACACTTACCAGGGCGATCATCTCAGGGTCCGAGATCGGCATGAACAAGATCAAAGAGGAATACAAGGTCAGGTTCAAGACCACGGTCACCAGCAACATTGTTGGTGACACTTCGGGTATTACAAGGACTTCCTGCTGACCTTGATAGGGAGTGAATATTAAAATTAAAACAACCTGCTTTTGTTGGGGAAGATGTGTAGAATGTCTATCCGCAACCACCCAAAAAAAAAACTTTCATCAGAGAACATGTACAAAGACCGAAAATACTCTGATGCATTCATGCATATGCATCCATTCTTTACAAGATTTTAAAAGATCCATATCACGTTCAGATAAGCCAAACCATTCTCTCCTTTTTGTGTTTATTTGATAGTTCTGAAAAGCTCCTTTTCCGCTTAAAAAGTCATTAAGCAGAACGCTTTGAGGCCACACAAAAAAATCACAGAAAGTAAAGTGCAGCAATTTCATATTGGCGATGAGGAATGAACTCATCTAGGAGACTAGGACCCGGGATCAGAGTATTATTATGCACTTTGTTATTCTACTATACTCACAGCATCTTCTGCAGCAACACAAAGTACAACAATCAAAATGTTCCTGAGCCTCATCCTCTACTGTTAAGAATACATTTATCTCTCGTTTGGACGCAATACAAGGTTGGTCTCACGCGCAAAGTACAGGAAAAAAAAGACAAGTGAGCACCCCTTCACACTGAGCACAAAAGTGATGATCATCTGTCACCAAGCTTTTGCCCGTCTTGATTTCTTATTCACTTCAAGAGAGAAGATATCCTCATCTCCTCCTGGATGACGAAGAAGCCGCAGCAATTATACCACCAGCAACAAGACCCACAACTCCAAAGGCGCCTGTGATGATAGCCATGCCAATCATACCATCTGAATTTAACCATCAAATAAGCCGTTAGCCCAAGTTAGACAAACCATAAACAGTGCATTGGAATGACTAGAGGTTTGCTCTATTGTTCTTTTCTAATATTTGAAACATGGATACATGGTAGATAACTTTATTAAGACATGATGTCTTGATCCCTACTGCTTTTCAGGGTCCATGGCTGACAGCAGTGGTTGGGGAGGTGAGGTCTCAGATTTGGGGATATATATGAAACTTATCTCTTGATCAATACAATTGATATTTACATTAGGACATGGAGAATTACTGGACACCAGCCCTGTTTGTTTCCGCTTATAACAGATTCTCGGTGAAAAAAAAAACGAGAATCCCACCAAATGCCTTGATTATCTCAGCTTCTGCTCACCACCGATTCAGAACTTTGAACTAGCAAAATCGAGAATCGAAAAACATCCCTGCATTACGGCGATTGCAAACAGACAGGGCCATCATGTTGGCATTATAGTAGCACATGATAAGCTATTGGCCATTCATTTTCCTAACTTGGTAGTGGACATTATAGTAGGAGATGCAAAATCCATGGGCATCCATTTTATCATTTTCCTACACTGAAAATGGAAAGCATAAATATTATACCAACCTCTTCTGGTTTTTTCTTCTACGAGCCTTTGCAAAGTCATGGCTTGTCTCCAGTCATGTTGGACCTGAAGAAAACATGAAATTTCTTGTTCAACATGCAGGCATCAAATTCAGGGGCGCCTTGGTTAACAATTCAGGACTAAGGCCACAGACAAACAAATCTGGAAGGTCTCAAAGGAATAACAACAGATAACACATTTCATGATCAAACCTCTAAGCATCTTTCCAAAAGCTGTCGGCTTCTTGTATAATCCCCAGTTCTGTAACGCCCAACAGCTAACAAGTAGAGCTTCTCCCTTGCTTGCTCTGGGCTGCTAGACCTGTCCAATGAAGCTGGCAACAGATAACATCATGAGCTTCCATAGGGACAACGACAAAGAAATTAACTATGCTGAGATCTAGTTCCTCTAAATTTTAGAGGTTCAAATCTCAGCAATGTAACCCCATAATGAAAGTCTCAACTGGTTCTTTTCAGAGAAGTGGGCGTAGGAAGTCAAACAATAATAATTGAACAGAAGTCCATGTGGTAAGACGCTTCTTATGGCATGTGGGCATTTCCTTGTACATCAACACGTTTTTCAACAAGTTAATGGTAATGGCAAGTTCTAATTTTCTAAGCAGACTAGTTAAAAGATGAGGTCCAACTCAATCACAAATCAAAACATGAGGTCCAACTCAATCACACTTTTTTCATGGAAATAATCAGGAAATGGGCAAATATTCAGTAAATTTCTCGAGTCATATTTTCTGTTTTTTGAAGGAACAGAAGAGGAACTCCTACAATGTTTATCAAGCCAATTTTTTTTTTTATAAAAGAAGACTCCAAGTACTAATGCTGCTGGAGATTAACAGGATATGGATATCACCTTCAAGCATTCCGATGCCCCGGTTGACATCTTCAGGCTGTCTCGAGTGAACAAGCGCCCAGGAGAGCCTCATTAGGCTCTCATTCTTCTGTTCTTCATTTTTAGCCTCAGCAACCTCGCTCTCGAAACCCTGATAAAAATAATTGATCATAAGAACGCGTTGCAACGATTACGATTAGGCCCCGCGTGATCAAACACGGCTTGACCAGATAACAGGATGCTCTGATCGGATAATTGGTTGGTTTGTTTTGCTTAATGACCGCAGTAGCACCACGGTGGAATGGAGGGTGATTCATCGATCGTTGATTCAACCGACCATAGGGTTAGTGAATCCCCCGTGACTGCAAGGAACCTGTGTCACAATTCCCCGCGCAGCAACGACTCAGTGAACCCCGTGCCGACTCGTGGGCCCCTCGCGCGCATTCCCCTCCAAAATTTGCCGCCGCCACCGGAGCGGCAAGAAGGCGGGAGAAGGAAAGGGTCGGATTGGCGGCACTCGTCACTCGTCAGCAGGCCTCTCCCTGGGAGGCAGACGCCAGCCGAGCCCCCAGTTTTCTCGGCGAGAAGAGAAGGGGGAAGGAGGGGCTTACGGCGATGATGTCGCGGTCGCACCAGGGGAGGATGTCGCTGCCGCGGAAGATGGAGCCCACCGAGTCGATTAATTTGCCGACGTGCGAGTCCATCCCGCGTCTCTCTCTCTCTCTCTCCTCCTTTTTTTTTTGGGTGGGGGTGTGGGGGGGGACACAGGGAATTGTCTCGGAATTGGGGGGGTGGTTTGATCCGTGGGAGGGCGGTGTGTGTTTTTATACGGGGTTTTCGGCGTGCCACTGGAGGAATGGATGGATTGGATTGGACTGGATTGGAGTTGGACCCAGAGGGTAGCCTTGGGTGCTAAGCAAAGAAAGGAAGCCGTTAGCGACCTGACGCACCGAGTCAGTGGTGCTGCCGTGCTGCCACCAGGCCCGGTCGTGTCAATTTATAGGCTTGAGCGAATCTAGAGAGATGGGCTCTTCTAAATGTATGTTTTATTTTTTGCAACATGAGGACACTAGAAATTTAGAAATTAGTAAATACCGTTGTACTGGATTCAGTTCAACATTAAAATAAACCATGTGTTCGTGAATTACCAAGTTTTTTTTTCGAGAGTTGCCACGGTGAGAGTATAATGAATAATAAGCCACGAAGGCGCAGCGGAGGCAAATTGTTGACGGCGACGTACGTGGTGCGACCGCGACGTCGGATGTGAAGGCGCAGCGATGGAGCCACCAAGGAGAGCAGTCACGGCGGAAGGGAAATCGACGGACACTTCATCATGCGTACAGCGCTCCTGGTATTTCCTATATGGGGCCATATACATATTTCCTATTAGACAAGAGTATACCAGCTATAGCTTATACGTATGCAGACCTGGGATTGGGCCCCTTGGCCTCGAGGGCCCTGTGCCCATCGCACAGCTCGAACCGTATTTCCTATATGGGGCCATATACATATTTTCTATTAGACAAGAGTATACCAGCTATAGCTTATACCCCCCCCTTGGCCTCGAGGGCCTGCTGCCATCGCACTTCAACTGTATTTCCTATATGGGGCCATATACATATTTCCTATTAGACAAGAGTATACCAGCTATAGCTTATACGTATGCAGACCTGGGATTGGGCCCCTTGGCCTCGAGGGCCTGTACATCTACATCACTGGGGAAAATGTACAGGAGAGAGACCCAATCTTAACACGCCATGATCAACACCATTCGCCGACAAAGAGGGGGAAATGTACTCCAAAGACCCAATCAGATCTCCAAAGAGAAAGTGAACTCCAGACTAAGGCCCCGTTCGCTTGAATGGTTCCATGCCAGACTTATCAGCTATGGTATAGTGTTTTTTTTCACAATAAACCAGCACCGATTAGATTTATCACCTAGAAACCAACCAACGAACGTGCTGTAATAAGACAGCCCCCAACGCTCCCTCGAGCGACCCGTCTCCACTTATTGCCCATCTCACACGAAATGATAGCCTCACAGTCCATCGGAGTATCCTACAGAAGCGCCTATAACTTTATATGACAAAATATTAAAGCAACTAGTAGAGCGAGCATTTGGGTCCAGGCTATAACAACAATAACAACAATAAAGCCTTTAAATCCCAAACAAATTGGGGTAGGCTAGAGTTGAAACCCAGCAGAAGCAATCAAGGTTTCGGCACGTAAATAGCTGTTTTCCAAACACTCCTATCTAAGGCTAAGTCTTTGGGTATATTCCATCATTTCAAGTCTTCCTTTATTGCCTCTATCCAAGTCAACTTCGGTCTTCATCTATCTCTCTTCACGTTAATATCCTGGCTTATGATTCCACTACGCACCGGTGCCTCTGGAAGTCTTCGTTGGACATGTCCAAACTATCTCAACCGGTGTTGAAAAAGTTTTTCTTCAATTGGTGCTACCCCTAATCTATCACGTATATCATCGTTCCGAACTCGATCCCTCCTTGTATGACCGTAAATCCAACGCAACATACGCATTTCCGCGACACTTATCTGTTGAACATGTCGCCTTTTCGTAGGCCAACATTCTGCATCATACAACATAGCAGGTCTAATCGCCGTCCTATAAAACTTGTCTTTTAGTTTCTGTGGTACCCTTTTGTCACATAGGACACCAGATGCTTAACGCCACTTAATCCACCCTGCTTTGATTCTATGGCTAACATCTTCATCAATATCCCCGTCTCTCTGTAGCATTGATCCTAAATATCGAAATGTATCCTTCCTAGGCACTACTTGACCTTCCAAACTAATATCTTCCTCCTCCCGAGTAGTAGTACTGAAGTTACATCTCATATACTCAGTTTTAGTTCTACTAAGTCTAAAACCTTTGGACTCCAAAATCTTCCGCCATAACTCCAGTTTCTGATTCACTCATGTCCGGCTTTCATCAACTAGCACTACATCATCAGCGAAAAGCATACACCAAGGAATGTCCCCTTGTATGTCCCTTATGACATCATCCATCACTAAGGCAAACAGATAAGGGCTCAAAGCTAACCCTTGATGTAGTCCTATCCTAATCGGGTAGTCATCTGTGTCTCCATCACTTGTTCGAACACTAGTCACAACATTGTTGTACATGTCCTTAATGAGCCCGACGTACTTCGTTGAGACTTTATTTTGTCCAAAGTTCATCACATAACATTTATTGGTATTTTATCATAAGTCTTCTCTAAGTCAATAAAAATCCATATGTAGGTCCTTCTTCTTCTCCATATACCGCTCCATAACTTGTCTTATTAAGAAAATAGCAAAGTGAAGAGAGAAAAGCTGCAAGCTGCATGCATATAGGGTCCAAAATAAAATAGCTTGCATTGCGAAGCTGTTTGCCTCAACTTTTCCTCCCCTACATGGACTACTGCTTTAGTTGAGGCTAACAAATCTGTTGGCTTGCGTTGGTGGTGCCCTAAGCAGCCCACACTTGTTGCTTGTGCTTAGTCTGAAAGAAAAATCCCAAACTCCATCTTTTATCCACGCACAACTCTATTATCATGAATCATACATCCTCTAACTTTAAAAATTGAGCAAAATCCCTTCTAACTATTTCAAAACAGTTTTGTTGACGCACACACGTGAGGGTGGAGATGAAGGCGCAAGCACGGAGGCAGAGCTCGTCGAGGTGGAGGCGAGGTGGAGGATGGAGCTTGAGACGATGGACAGTGAACCAGATGCAAGGTAGAAGGTGGAGAGCAGGAGGTGAGGGGAATTGGGCACGACGACCATCAGGGGCTTGCTAGGGCCGGCTAGGAGGCATGTTTAGGTTTCAGACTACAAAACAAGTCTAAGTTGGTTTCGTCAAGTCAAATTAGGAGGAAAGCCAAGGAACAACGCACGCCCATGTTATATGGATCATGAAAACCACACCCAAGATAAATGCCAACCATAATTCATGTGGAACATGTGGCTATCAACACTTCCTTGTTTTGTCTAATATGTTATTAATCTCAGCCATAAATCAACACTATGATAGTATGATGTAGATGCTGTACTCTAACTTTTGAATTTCAAGTTTATATTCTAACCTCATGTTCGGCTTCTATTATAAAGGATTTCACGCATGAAAATGTCCACAACATTTTTAAAACCACGACGCTCGGTTTCAAACTTTTCCTGAAAAAACAAAACTATATAAAGGTGCAATATATATCATTAATAAAATATACATAGCATTTTGAGATAATGAACGACCAATTTACACATATCATCATCATCTCATGTTCGCTTGTCTAATGAGCCATACTATTTGTTGACTCAGATTCGGTGACTTGCCTCGGTGTAACGTGAGGGCATCTATCTACCCTCCGAATCCAATCCATCAGTTTTTTTAAAAAAAGTGCGTCAATCTCACAGGAGCCACGCCGCAACAGTTACCCGCAGCAGCCCGCCCACCTCCCGCGCCGCCACCGGCCCCTCGCGACGCGCGCTGTTGCCACTCCGGCCTCCTGCGCTGCACGCTGTGCCTCAGCGCTCCTGCAGCACTCTCGTGCCTCGCGCCGCTGCAGCTCCCAACTTGTGCGTCATCGCAGGCTTTCCCGTCCCGTATGCCGCCGCAGCAGTCCTGTCGCGCCTCTCTAGAAGCCGGTAGTCGGAGCAGCAAGGAGAAGATGGAGCCTGCGCCAAGGCTGATCTCAGCAGCACTACGCCGTTCAAGAGGTCCTTGCCGCCATGGAGGAGATGGACTAGGCAGGAATGCTGCCACCGTGGTTTCTGTCTTTGCAATGAATGTAATTAGCTTTTGTATAGAAATCACTTCTTGTAAACACGTCATATTCTACTGGTCTATATGATGAAATCAAGAGACTTTGTTTTGATCTTGTGAAGTACTGGAATCTAGAAATGGAAATGCAAGTGAAGGGAGTGATTGTGTGAAGGGAGTGATTGTGTTCAAGGACAACATCAATGACTTCATAATTTCCTTCCCCTCGGTTCAATGTAATAGTCATTCGTGCTTTGCAATCGGTTCTTGTTTCAGGTCTAAAACACTTTGCCACATGATCTCTTTCCACTTTTCTTCAATGACCCTCATTGGCACAAACATATCTGCATGATGTTACCTTACGATCAAATTTGCTGTAATTTGTATATCTTTTCCTAACATCAAAGCCAGAACGACCCCCATAGGCCACCCAAAACTGCTAAGCTTCATCTGAATTTTTAAATCTCAAACCAACTTGAGGTGTTCGCTTGTCAAGTTCTGCCATTGCCTTTCATATAAACCAGATTTGTCTTTCATAATGCTCAAAATTTTCTTGTCAAATTCTGTCAAAAGGAAGAACTTTACTACATAATGGATAACACATGATTGCATATTTGCATTTTTCTGATCAAGCAAAGCATCAGCTGTAAAACAAATAACACATAGATCAAACATACCAATTCTAAAGCAATAAATAAGTTAGCCTATCTGAACTCCATATGCTGAACTATCTGAACTATCTGAAATAACTGAAATACTGAACTACTCACAACCCTATAATCTCTGAAGTTTGTATATTGTAGATTCATTTTTAATATTGGAAATCACACATGCACATCCACGAACTTCCAGTGCTAGTTGGATTTCAGGTGAGATGAAAATTTGCTGAATGTGAAGTGAGCACTAAATACAAGATTGTGACATAGAAGAGGTCCGATCCTTTTTGAAGTCCTCACGGAGCTCGTCGACGGTGTCCCGGGCCGGCGGCAACGCTGCTGAACGGCGTCACTGCGTCGGTTTGTGCATCTCGGCAGCCCGGCCCCTCCGGACAACGGGCGGCGGCGCAGTACTGCTCCGGTAAGCGTAGGACTGCTTGGCCCAGGCCGGCAGCGACGCTGCTGAACAGCGTCCCAGCGTCATTGTATGCAGCTCGATGGTTCGGCCCCTCCGGACGACGGGCGGCGACGCAGGACTGCTCGAGGTCGGCGGCGGCGAGCAGTGGGCACGGGTCAGCGCAGCCCGCCGAAAACCAGCGCAGCGCGCGCGAACGAGCAGCCACTCCCGCCTAGCTTTCACGGAGGAAAACTAGAGTATCTTATGGGAGAAAACTGGCAGCCGTCGGATGGTGTTTACGTTGGGGATGGTGTTTACGTTGGATATAGGGCCGCACGTTACGCTGTGACTTTGCTGAAGGAACGTTACCCAATCTGAGTCCGCGCACCACATCTGACACCTCCACCCCAACGCCGCCGCCGCTGCTCGTCACATTTCCTGGCGCCCGTCAACCGCCAAGCCCCGCGAGTCCGCGACCCTGCGTCTGGCCCTGGGCCTCCCCACCTCTTTCCATCCATCCATCCACTGCTGCAGCCGCGGAAATGGCGGCGCCGGCGACGCTGCGCTCGGCGGCGGCGCGGGCGCGCGCGCGCGCAGCGGAGCTCGTGGGAGGGCGGTGGCCGCAGCGGCGCCTGGGGACGACGTCCGCCGCGGAGACGGAGAGCAAAAAGGACAAGGAGGAGGAGGAGGGGGCCGGGGCCGGGTGGGAGCTCTCGGCGGCGCGGGAGTACTACGACTACCGCAAGTCCATCTACGGCGACGTCACGCACCGCGCCCTCCTCGTCGACGCCGTCGGCACCCTCGTCGTCCCCGCCCAGCCCACCGCGCAGGTCAGCACCGTTGCCCGTAGGACATCATTCCCCTCACCCAGTCGGCCAGTCCCGCTTCTTTCTCTTCTACCGGCTCGCTGCGTGCCTGTGCGTTAGTAATCCTTACATCCGGGCTAGTGTCATGCTGTGATGTGGAATCTGGGTGGTCACTGGGCTGTCCTCTGGTGGCACGATAGGTTGTCTTCTCAACATTGCAGCTTGAATTGAATTGTCGGGCCTGAATTTTACACTGCCTTCATGTGGCTTCTGTGGCTTATGACACAGATTTGTCTGTAAAAGTTTGTACTCTGAATTATTGACGGTGTGCTCCCTCTGTTTAGGTGTATAAGAGCATTGGTGAGAAGTATGGAGTGAAGTACTCGGAAGATGAGATCTTGATGAGATACAGGCGGGCGTACGAGAAACCATGGGGTGGATCACGTCTCAGGTATACATTTCTGGTATATATAAACGTTGCCACGTACTGACAATTTATCAATTGTGGTCTGATACCTGTATATCTGTTTATCGATGGTAATCACTTAGATCTTGCTGTGCCATACTTTTCTGTTTCCTGTCTGCATGTTATTTTTTGGCTAGACGCAGCGAGTGTTTGGTGATCTGATGCAAGCTCATTAGCTGAGAGGTCAATTCGCTGACAATGGAGATTTCTCTTCTTCCTTTTTAATTGGTCTGACTTTGTCCAAGTTTCTGCATTGTCGACTCCATACAAATCTGCATGAAAATTGGTGTATGGCGCCATTCATGTGCGCAAAATGACATTTTACATGTGCTGACTCCTAGTACACGACATCCTTGTCACTTGTATAAATAACGTCTCTCAGTTCAGCTGTTACTTATTAGAAGCCCTAGATTTGCAAATGACGACAAATTGGGAAAAAAGGAAAGATTGAAAATAGTGGCGTGGTTAGTTGAGGTGTGCTATTGCAGTACTTTGTCATTTTTTGGTTTGCTTATTTTAGTATCAAGCTGCATATGTTTAGGCTGATTTTCACAAAAAAATGTTACTTCTTGAGGCTTCCATATATTTACGTCTCCGTGCACATATAGACATATAGTTAGGCTTGCCTTTTATGGATGCTCAAAAAAAGGTTACTTCTGCAAAATTATTTTGTTTCCCAAAGAAATTGTATAGTTGGTGGAGTAGTCAATGCTTCCATATTCGAGCAAGACTACAATGTTGTTTAATCTTATTAATGTTATGTTCTACAATTGGAGTGGAGTATGGTTTGATTTGTTTATTATTGTGCACTAAATCACTGACTTTATATATTTCTATACTTCTATGCCATATTTTCATGTTCGCATAATTCATGTATACACATGTATTTTGTTGTGTTCCCTAATAGATAGTGTGATCAGAACTTTACACTAAAGGTGCATCCATAACACCAATTTAATCTGGCTCCATGTTCTTTTCTTTTCCCCATACTTGGTACTATATACTTATGTACATAGGTTGTTTTGTTGATAAATGTGCCCTCTTCAAAATTACCAATTTAGGTCATTGCTGCACTTTGAACAAATTTGGATTGATCTTTGTTTCGATTTTGTTTGTCCAACCATGAGATTATTTAGAAAAATATTGACTTGCATATTGTTTTCTTTCCATTGTCAGCTGTTGCTTTTTTTGCTAATTTGAACTGAGAATCTTGCTTAAACAATCAAGTCAAAAGCCACTCCTATGTATATTAGGGAGTTGATTGGTTGTTTTAACAAATCACACTTGATTTGTGACAGCATGAGGTTCATTTTTCATCTTGTGCTCATTTTTTCTTTTGCGATTACTTATGGCAGTACCCTTGTATTTTTTAAACAGAAACCATCCACAGATAATGATATTTATTTACTCTTTTTGTTTATGTTATCTTCGCGAACCCATTCCCTATTATTGTTATCCATGTTGTGCTGTAGTACTTTATACTCCTGATATTTCTCTCAAGTATCTTATTTCTAGAATGCCTTGTATATATTATCATCGATCCATTTCGAGGTTAAGTTACTATACCAACATTGAACAGGTATGTGGATGATGGGAGACCCTTTTGGCAGCACATAGTCACTTCTTCAACAGGCTGTTCAGATGCACAATACTTTGAGGAACTTTATCAGTACTTTATGACAGAAAAGGTTAGATTAATTGTGTAGTCAGCAGAAGAATATTCTTTGCTGTCTCTGACTTCAGCTGGACTAATGAGAAGCTTTTTATGCTTGCTAGGCCTGGAAGTTTTGTGATCCTGATGCTGAAAATGTATTTAAAGCTTTAAGGAAAGCTGGTGTTAAAACTGCCGTTGTCTCCAATTTTGATACCCGTCTACGACCACTTCTGCAGGTCTTGAAATGTGACCACTGGTTTGATGCAGTTGCAGTCTCTGCAGAGGTTTGTTTACATGTCTTGTTATTTCTTTGACTTATGTTAAAAACAGATGGCTTCGTTGCAGAAATCTTGTACTTGCAATTCCAAGTTATCATGTTTGTATTATATACTATTACCTACTGCTACTGTGATCTAGCGTAGTGCTTCTTTTTTCTGTGAAAAAGTTTTTTTTTGTGTGTGTTTTGTATCTCATAATTCAATTGTTTCCAACCTATACTATCAGGTTGCAGCAGAGAAGCCAAATCCAATAATATTTTTGAAGGCTTGTGAGCTCTTAGGTGTGAAGCCTGAAGAATCTGTGCATGTTGGCGACGATCGTAGAAATGATATATGGGGAGCCAGAGATGCAGGCTGTGATGCCTGGCTCTGGGGCAGCGATGTTCGATCCTTCAAGGAGGTATAATTTCTATTTATTCTTGACACCTTGTTCTAGAGATCTATCTTGACAGCGTGCTAATAGATTCCAGCATCAGAGCACGGTCATGATCGGTTATTGGATTGAACTAGTGACAGTAAGGATAAGTGTGGGCACGCTGTGCTGCACTGCACTGGCCTGTGCTGTGTGGGTAGCATTGATTGTTGGTGAGGTACGGCAGGTCTGTCATGTGCCACAGGGGAAATGGTCTGTGGTCCAGCACGTCTCTCTGTGGCCAAAGAACAGTCCAGAATGGATCGACACGTCAAAATGTATCAGGCCACGTTTAGTTGGTACACCAACTCGGCGCCGCCAGATTCTGCGGTCACTGTAGCTACAGTAGCTTGTTCGTTTTTATTTGGTAATAATTGTCCAAACTTTGATTAATTAGGCTCAAAACGTTCATCTCGTAAAGTACAACCAAACTGTGTAATTAGTTTTTTGATTTCGATTTAAGATTTCAAATACGTATCTGCACACGTCAAAATGTTCTTTTTTCGTATCAGACATTTTGTGGCCTGTCTCCACCACATGAAATGGATGCTTCTTGGTGTTCTTGGGGGTGGGCATTGTAGATTTGTAGGTTTGGATAAGACCAGCTGCAGCAATGCAGCATGCCAAGAGCTTTCTGTCCCTCCTTATTACCTATTTTTGTTCTTGGCATGCCTTTGTTCTTTGGGAATGAGCGCTGACTCCATCCTGATCTCTGTTTTTCACTGGTGCGCTCTTCTTGATGCAGGTCGCGGAGCGGATCGGTGTAGAGGTGAGGAAGTGAGGATGGTGAATATACAGAGACAGGCAGTACCAAGGATCGCGGTCGTGAAGCCAGTTGCCCATCCTTGTGCTGCTAGAGTAAAATTTACCGGGCTGGTCTGTAGGCTTGTAGCTGTATGACTAACTTATTAAGGTTCCGTTGAACTCTTTACTGGAGCCATGATGTTGGTGCCTGAGATCTGCTTGCCCCCTAAATTGGGATGATGTGTTGATCTGTTCTGCGTCTCGGAATGTTAGATATCTGACTGTTTTTTTTTTTTGAGAATCAGACTGTTTCTTTTCTGAAACCATCGCTGCCGACCAGTCGGATGGAATCCGTCTGCCGACCCCCCTCCCCCACTCGCGATTACAGCCCAGGAGCGCGCTAGGCCCAGCCGAAGCCCATGCAGAGCAAGCCATCCGAGTCGTTGCTGTTCCTTCTCTTTTCTTTGCGTTCCGTTTCCTAACGTACGTGCGTCGAACATGGTTTTTTTTTAGTGCCGTCGAACATGGGTTGTGCCCTTGTGCGGTATGGTAGTTGCGTTTTTTTCTTTTTCTTTTCCTTTTCCTTTTTTCTTTTCTCTGTGTTGTTTTATTTTTCTTTTTTTTTTTTTTTTTTCTTTTATTTCCTTTGTGCGTTTTTTTTTTTCTTTCCTTCTTTGATTTCTTTTTTTCTTTCCTTTCATTCATTTATTTTCCTTTTCTTTTTCCTTTTTCGTGGACTTTTGGCATTCTTTTGAGTAGTTGCGTTTTTTTCTTTTCTTTTCTTTTCCTTTTTTCTTTTCTCTGTGTTGTTTTATTTTCCTTTTTATTTTTTTATTTTTCTTTTATTTCCTTTGTGCGTTTTTTTTTCTTTTTTCCTTTCTTTCTTTGATTTCTTTTTTCTTTCCTTTCATTCATTTATTTTCCTTTTCTTTTTTCTTTTTTGTGGACTTTTTGCATTCTTTATTCTTTGATTATTTTCATTTCCATTTTATTTTTATTTTTGTTTCCTTCCTTGCTTCTATTAGTTTTTTATTTTTCTTTCTTTTTTGGTTTTCTTATCTTATTATTTTTTAATATTTATACATTTTTAATTTCTTTTTTTATAGAATTAATAATTTTGTTTATTTTATTTTCTGCTTTCGTATTTATTATCTATTATTTTCCTTTCTTTTCTTCTATTCATAATTTTATGTTTCATTTTTTTATTTATAGATACATGCGATGTTCATGTAGTATATACGTAATGTTCTATGATATATTTTTTTATGTCCGTGAGTAGAAATATGATGTTCTACGATGTATTTTATGATGTTCAATAAGTATATATTGATGTTCTAGGATATATTTTATGATGTTCGGTAGCATTTTTCTTCTTTTTATTTGACTTTAATTAATTACTTCACTAATTTTATTATTTTATTTTCATTTCATGATATTTTGTGATGTCCATGTAGTATACTGATGATGTTCTATGCTATATTTTGGTGATGTTCGTGTAGTGTTAATATGATATTCTACGATGTATTTGTTATGTTCGGTAGTATACATTGATGTTCTCTGATATATTTTTATGATGTTCTATAGTTTTTTCTTCTTCTTTTTATTTGACTCTAATTAATTACTTTACTAATTTTATTATTTTATTTTACATTTCATGCTATATATGATGTTCACGTAGTATACATATGATGTTCTATGCTATAATTTGTGATGTTCGTGTAGTGTTAATGTGATGTTCTACGATGTATTTATGATGTTTGATAGCATTTTTAATTCTTTTTGTTTGGCTATAATTAATTACTTCACTAATTTTATTTTTATTTTTTTATTTTTAACATTTCATGATATATGTGATGTTCACATAGTATACATACGATGTTTTATGCTATTTTCCGCGATGTTTGTGTACTGTTAATGTGATGTTTAACAATTATCTTTAAATACATGTTTATTATGAGATAAAAGTTCGTTAATTTTTTTATTGAAATATATCCATGTGGGATTTTGTTTTGAAAAGTTAAGGAATACAATGGTGCAATCGGATTTTAATTAGGATACTTGGTTTAGAAGTTATAATTTTTTTTACTTCAAAAAGCATGGGATATGTGCTGATGTAAGCAATTTTGGATCTATTGCATGACTGCTGTCTGGTTGGACTGGTTGGTTGCGTGAAACGTGGGCCTAAACGGCAAAACCGGTCCAAATACAAAAGAAATAGCCCAATTTTGAAAATAGTAATCGTGGGGGTGGAAGGTCGGCAGGGGGCTGGGCGCCGACCCAGTCGTCTTATAGACACCCCGTTTCTGTTTGCTGGTATCGTTTACAGCCTTGTTGGCTCTGGGTAGGAAAGCAGCACTTGTGATGAGACAAGAAAGTTTGGCCACCGGGTATCTGGTGGCTCATTCGCAGCCAACATAGGCCACCATGCATGCACCTTGTTCGCTTGATGAAAGGATCAAGATGTTCAAGAGGAGGGTGAATTAGGCTAATTTTAAATTTCTTTACAATAATTAAGTCCCATGGTTAACCCAATTAACCCCTTGTGCCTAGAGAGTGTTTTTAGTTGTTCTACCGCACAAAAGACTTGCAACCTAAGTTCTAATCCTACTCTAACATGGCAATTCTATGAATGTAAAAACAAGAATTGAATTGCTCAATGTAAATGCTCAAAGTAATTACTCAAAGTAAATACTCAAAGTAAATGCTCAAAGTATAGGGAGGAGAGGAAACGCGGCGATGTTTTGCCGAGCTATCGGAGAGTCACCACTCCCCACTAGTCCACCCACTAGTCCACGTTGGAGCACCCGTGCAAGGGTGTAGCTCCCCCTTAATTCGCGCAAGGATCAAGTGCTCTCTATGGATTGATTCTTCGACACTCCATCACGGTGAATCACCCACAACCGCTCACAACTTGAGTTGGGTCATCCACAAGCTCTCCGGATGATCACTAAGCTCCCAATCACCACCAAGCCGTCTAGGTGATAGCGATCACCAAGAGTAACAAGCACGAACTCTCACTTGACCACAACAAACCTAGGAAGAAGGGTGGATGCACACTTTGCTACTCTTGATCTTGCTAATGAGGACTCTCTTTGGGATTCTCAAATCTCAATCAACTTACTAGGACCTTGCTCTTCTTGGCACTCTCTAAGGTGTTTCTCAGCTGTTGGAATGAGCAAAAGTACCCCAACACACGAGTGGAGGAAGTATTTATAACATGAGCTAAAAAATGAACCGTTATGTGCCTCTGCGGGGTGACCGGACGCTCCAGTCAGGTTGACCGGACGCTCCGGTCAGTATACCCTAAACTTCAGTGTTTACAGTGTAACCGAACGCTGGACAGCGTTCGATCAGCACTGACCGGACGCGTCCGGTCATGATTTTCTCTCTCTAAAACCTTACTGGAGTCGATGGACGCTGGCTCTCAACGTCCGGTCACTTGACCTCTTAGCGTCTAGTCAAACCAGACACAAACACCTTGGTCAAATAAACTGATCGGACCCTGAGCCATCGTCCGGCTCAAACCGGAGCCAGCGTCTAGTCAGTATTTGACCCTCCATTGACTTCCAACTCTCGATCATATGTGAATGCAGTTTGCTCCAAAGGATCTTAGGCATATTTAGGAGCTACCTAGTGCTAGTTTTAACAAGTGTGCACCACACCTAACTCACTAGACTCACCTAGGTCAAGCTACCCGTCCATACCCCCCTTAATAGTACGGCCAAAGGAAAAACAAAGTCCTAAACTACTCTAAGTGTCTCTCAAACTCCAATTGACACTTAGAACTAGTCATCCTTAACCTTGTCGTCCATCCTTTGAAAACCGAAACGATTTTCATCGTAGGGGCATGACCACCATGATTGCCCAATCGATCTCTATTACCATGACCTAACTTAATTGCCTCTGCAAAACACACGTTAGTCATAGTAATCTTATATTGTCATTAATCACCGAAACCCAATTAGGGGCCTAGATGCTTTCAATCTTCCCTTTTGGTGATTGATGACAATACTACCTCGAGTATGTGAAAGAGTTGAGGTTTTTAACATGCTTGGATCATATAAGCTTTTGTCAATAAAAACAAAGGTGTTAGTCAAGCTTATATGAACCAAGCCAACATGATGTACTCAAAAGATATGAAATAAACATGAGTACAAGTAATAAAGCTCATTTGCATCGGAGTAAAACACGGAAGCAAAAGCAAATGAGCATAGCACAAGTGATATGACATATAAATAATGCAAAGTAGAGAGCACACATGTCATATATCACGATCACATAGATATCACTATCACATAGATATAGTTCAATGCATAAGGGTAAACACACGGAATGCATAATAGTGCATCACATATAAAAACTCCAAATGTAATATATAAGCTAATATAATAACTAAGCTTCCCCTAAATACGTCGCTCCCCCTGAATCTATCATACTCGATCTCTCTCCCCCTTTGGCGTCAAAGACCAAAACCTAAGGGTCGATCGGGGGGCTGCAGCGAATGAGCCAGGCGCTGAGGTACGAGGAGCGAGATGGAACTGGTCACCATCATCATCTGATTTGGAGCTTTGAGCTATCTGACCCTCTAAAGTAGGAAGTGATGCTGAAGCGGTCTAGGTCGGATCAGGTACTGGAGTTGCCTGTGACTCTAAAGGTACGACTAGAGTAGGCTCTAATGATGCCACTGAGGAAGGGAGCGTCTCTGTAGTCCCGATAACTGGTGCAACAGTAGAAGGACCTAGGACATGTAGATATGGAGGACTAAACATCCCTGTCAACTCACTAAAGGAAGCACCAAGGCTCCTAAACACTGTGGTCTCTAGCACTAGCAGCGAGGGCGTCTCATCTGGTGTGAAGCCCATCTGAAGCGGTGTGAACTGTGGAGCTGGCAGTGACGTAGCAAAATACTAGGGACACCTGCTCTATAGGAGAAGCAAACTATACTAGTGGCTGTCCCTGACTCTGAAGCCCACTAGGCTGTAATGCTGGAGTCATCGAGGTAGTGGCAGTCTAACCAAGCTGGGGTGAAGGCTGTGA